AAGTGTTAAGATGACAGCAACATCAGAGAGAGGAGATTGGATTCCTGAGCCACGAGATGAAAGGGCTTATATTCCCACTGACCCTCACTGACAACCTGTGGAAGAAGTAGACCGCTATGGTGCTAAGGAGTTGCCTTGTTGCAGCGCCTGCCATGGCTAACCTATGAGTATATTCTACTTGCTCTACATAAAACCAAGTGGGAGTACGGATTAGACATGAACTCAATAAAAACACTGTTCATTAAATATTTGATGGAGGCCATGAGAGAGGAATAGCTATGTTTTACAATGGACAAGTCGATTACATCACTTTCCTTTAGGAAAACACACAGAAGAAACTTCTTAACCTGCAGTTCTAGAAAAGGTGGAATGTCTCTTGAACATTCAATAATAAAAAGTTACTAAGAATGTGATTCTTGATTGAGCCGTTGTTTTGCCATGCCTCCCAGCAAGCTCAGGGCCAAGTATGTAGCCTATGCATGGTCTCATGGAATGCATTTTTGCCAATTCTCTACTATGATTTTGCTATTCAGTCGTTTTCCCTTTAGGTCTGATTTACCTAATTTTCTCTGCTCTAATTGTGTTTTATACACTCTGTAAGTCTCTTAATATCTTTCTTTTGTGAGGGAGATAAAAACAAGGAAGTGTGAGAATCAAATTTTTAGAATGGGCTCTGGATGTAAGCCATTCTTAACACTGGTGAAGGCAGACAGTATAAATCGGCTTTGAGTTTAAAAATCAGTGCTGTTATTATAGTCCGGTAAAGATGTTTAAAAAAATTATTTTGAAATGATTAGATCATGGATTGGCAGAAATTGAATATTCAAATGCAATAAGTTTAACTGGTTACATGATAATTTTGATTTGAGCTAGTTTCTGACAGTTTCTGACAGTAATACTTGCCTGGTCAAATAATTTTAAAAAGCTAAAGTAGTTTGAATTCATCACTAAAAAGATATTAAAAGACAAAAAAATCCTTTTGACCCACCTCCTAGAGAGATGGAAACAAGAACAAAAATAAACAAATGGGGGGCTTCCCTGGTGGTGCAGTGGTTGAGAGTCCGCCTGCCAATGCAGGGGACACGGGTTCATGCCCCGGCTTGGGAAGATCCCACATGCCGCGAAGCGGCTGGGCCCGTGAGCCATGGCCGCTGAGCCTGCGCGTCCAGAGCCCG